AGGAAGGTTGAGTCAGGGGAAGAATAGAAGAGAGCAAAAAAAAAAGAGATACCATAATACAGGGAGCCATTATAGGCTTAAAGAGAAATCTGGCACTAGGGTAATGTTCAGAGATCTTCAAGGTTGACCCCAACTAACAATCTAAGCAATAGTGGAGAGGCTTCCTTAAATGCCCTTCTCTGATAATGAGATTGATGACTACCTTATATGCCATCCTAGAGCCTTCATCCAGTAGCTGATGAAAGCAGAAGCAGACACGCACATCTAAACATGGAGCCGAACTCCTTGAATCCAGTTGCAGAGAGGAAGGAGTGATGAGCAAAGGGGTCAAGACCCCTTTGCTGGAGAAGCCCACAGAAACTGCTGACCTGAACAAGAGGGAGCTCATGGACCCCAGACTGATAGCTGGGAAACCAGCATAGGACCAAACCAGAACCCCTGAATGTGGGTGTCAGTTAGGAGACCTGGGCAATCTATGGGACCTCTGGTTGTGGATCAATATTTATCCCTAGTATACAAATGGACTTTGGGATCCCATTCCACACAGAGAGATACTCTTTCAGCCTAGACATAGAGGAGTCTAGGCCCTTCTCCAAATGATATGATAGACTTTGAAGATCCTCCATGGAAGGCCTCACCCTCTCTTGGGAGCAGAAAGGGGATGGGATACGAGGTCTGTGGGGGGCAGGGGAGGAAGAGAGGGAGAGGGAACTAGCATTGACATGTCAAACAAGCTTGTGTCTAATTTAAATTTAAAAAATCAAACACACACACACAAAAAGATAAGGCCATATAAAAAGAGGGAATTGCCTCCCTGATTAAGATAGGTCTCTCAGAAATGTTGGCTTTGAAATTGAGGTCTGAATGATAGGAACACTGCTACAAAAAAACCTCAGAGAGAAAGACAGTTGAAACAGAGGGGACAGCCAATAGGAAGACCCTGGGTTAAAGTTAGCCTGCCACAGAGTCCCAGAGAACAGTGATGATGATCAGAAAGGAAGAGAATGAATGAATGAGAGAGAAATATAAAATCCCATTGCACTCCTGCAGGAGGCAGCTTAGAGTTGCAGGTGGTTTGCACAAGACAGATGGCAACAGAGTTGGGAGGTGGGATGGCCACACAGACTTTGGAAGAAAGCGAACAGGCCTCACTAAGAGAGAGAAGGATTTGGGATTTGCAAAAATGAGGATCCTATTGGTCTCTTTCACCTGGTACACAACACAAACACAGCAAACTAGCTATGTGAGTGAATATAGGAGCAAGCAAAAACTGTAAGGAAATGGAAGACTCAGGCCTGAGTGGGAGGGATCCCATACATGACCTACAGAGCTGAGCTGATGTTTGTCCAATAAGGAAGCATTGGAGGGATCAGCTTAAGAACAAGGGAGAACTAATTAATGCAGAGGAGAGAGAAAACATACAGAAACCATCAGAACAGGATCACCGAAGAATGCCATCTATCCCAGGGAAAGGGCAACTCAAAGGCATTCCAGACAGGCCAGAATGGAGAACACTCTCCTCATTCCTGTTAAAGCCCAGCCCAGGGACAAACAGTGAGTGCCAAAGAAGAAATGGAAGAAAAAAACATATCCAGACACATTGTAGGCCACAGCCATAATGATTCCTGCAGAGAGCAGAGAGCTGTCAGGTGCAGTGCTTGAGGAAGCTTTAGGATCACACTGGAGTCTTAGATTGCCTCTCCCAAGTACAGTCTCCTCTTGATTTTTTTTTTAATGCATGGTGCCATGCTGTCTTTGGAAGAAAGCATTTGATCTAAAGGACATATTAGAAGGAAAACAGCCTGGTGCATCCTCTGAGACAATCCCAGAGAGGATCTGAGCAAACCCAAGGACAAAGGAGTCCCTAGCACAAACCAGTATGTTTACTGAAATCCTCCCATACTGAGGTCAGTCATGTGAGACATGAGTGTGGACCACCTAGAATGTCTAATAGAAACTGTACTAATGTCTAATAGAAACTGTAGATCAAAAAGGTGGAAAGGACAGGGACAAAGAAAAGTAAAGAGAGAGAAAAAGACACATACCTAGAAAGAAAGGGAATGGGGGAGGACAACACAGCAAACCAGCCAGACATCAGATAGGGGAAAGGGCGTGTGCGCTGCTGTTTGTCAAAGGGAAAGAAGGTAGAGATGTTTTTGTTCTTTGTAGGTTAATATGTAAATGACATTCTGATTTATTAGCGGTCTCCAGCAGATGAGGTGATGATTAGCACATTTCCATATTTATAGAAAAGCAACACTAACTTTTTGGATTTATAGAAAATCAGCCCTTCACAAATAGCAAATTGTGCTATTATCGACATATGGTTTTCTATAAACAGAGCTGAGGTAATTATCCCGGGACAATTTGTTGGTGGGCTCCTTTTGAATATTAACCACTTTGGAAGCCCATTTCTGCCCTACATTATTTTAAAGAGGAGGGGGCACCAGATACCCCAGGCAACTCATTAGTAATCCAACAGTAAAAAGATAGGAGCCCAAACCACAAGAGAAACACCACAGGTCCAAGGCTCTGAGGTCAGATCCCTGAAGCCTTGGGCAAAGTAATTCACCTCCCAGTGAATTCACCTCCTCAATGTTCTTGTGTCTAACACTGGTACAACACTGTCCTCTTAAGTGTTGTCACAGAATTAAATGAGAATATAAGTAGTTACAATAAGAATATATTAAGTGTTCAATAATGTTGATTATTTTCCTTTCTCCCTTGCTCTTTTTTTTTTTTGAATGACTTGAAAAAGGACTCATTTGAGTAGATTTCAAAGCTCTTTCTACATGAAAGATCTACAAGAAATGATCTTATGTTACTTAATTTGTATTTTAATATGACAGTTCACATATAAACATCTTTATCTAATTGGAAAAGGTTTCCCAAAGCAATGGCCTACCTAACTTTGGTACTTAAAATCTACTAGGCTGTTTCATTTTCTATCCTTAGTTAATGAGGTTTTTCAAAGATGTATCCATGCATTGATTTGGAGGCCTGTCACTGCATTGCAACCACATCTTGCAAAATGTCTAGGGGGCACCATTATATCCCATGCACAAGTACAGTAAATGTTCAGGTACATACCTTGTGTTATTACAAGAAAAACAAGAGTACATGTATAGATGAACAAATTTTGAAATGAGCTAGCCAAGAGTCTTAGTTAACACTTCCTGTCTGGCTTTGAGCATTCACTTTGTCTTGGACCTGTGCTGAGAAGAAAGGAGACAGAAAAGCATGCGATGTGGTACTTGCTTTCAACGATGTTGCTATCTAATAGGGAAGAAGTACTAACAGCCAGAAAGTTATGTCAATACTACAGTGTGCGTCATCCTTATGAGTGGGTTCAGGAAGGGGAATGAACAGCCCAGCATCTTAAAACTGGGCATTTGAACTTGTTTGTGTAATAGGAATGGATCTTTCCATCTGTGATCACTCATGGCCTAGGTCAGGGGTTCTCTCTAGAAAAGTACCAGAATCATGTGAGAAGCATGTGAAAAGAGAATTCTGGGTGTGCCCTCCAGTAGAGTTTCCTTCAGTTAGGTTTTAGGGTGAGGGCTCAAGCATCCACCTTTCAGATGAATTATTGGATGGTGTGATGTAGCTGATTTGGATCTCACACTGAGAACTTCTGATGTATGGTTTTAATGAGATCATGAAGACTGTTGATGTCATTCAAAAGGGCTTAGACATCATCCTTCATCTTTCAGGGTGTTGAATAAGGAATTAAAGTCATTGGGTCTGTGAAGTGCTTATCTGTCAGGTGGCAACTGCTAGGAAGAGTTTAGATGAGCTGAGCCTGACCCTGGAGACCCTTCTAGAAACAGGTGTCATAAATAAAAGTTAAAAGACCAGCCTACCACAGAAGGCTGGGGATGGAGTGAGAAGGTTGAAGAGAGAGAGACTGAGAAGGAGGAATTATGAATTAGGTTTTCACTGAGTAATTACAAAGAAGTTTCTTTATCAAAAACTCTATAGTCAGAATAAGTTTGTACATTTTAAATAACAAAACTCTCAAAATCATTTCCTTATGAAAAGGTAACTGTGAGGATATAGTAAGAACATGAGCCGGGCATTGATGACACACGCCTTTAATCCCAGCACTTGGGAGGCAGGAGGATCTCTGTGAGTTTGAGGCCAGCCTGGTCTCCAGAGTGAGTGCCAGGATAGGCTACCAAGCTACACAGAGAAACCCTGTCTCAACCCCCCCCCCAAAAAAAGGAAGAACATGGTTTTAGGGCACCAAGCCAGTCTTGAGTTCAAACCCTCCTTGTGGTGTTTATTAGCAAGTCATTCTAATGACTCTCTCCTCCCCATGAATGAGAACACCACTTCAGAGTCAGAATCAGAAGAGACACTGTAAACTGTTCTGTAGTGGTTTGTTTTAACTGCCAACTTGACACAGACTAGAATTACTGATGTAATCTCAATAAGAATTTGTCTAAGCCAGGAGTGATGATGTACACCTTTAATCCCAGCACTTGGGAGGCAGAGGCAGTTAGATCTCTGAGTTCAAGGCTACCCTGGTTTACAGAGTGAGTTCCAGGACAGCCAACGCTGTTACACAGAAAAACCCTGTCTAGAAAAACAAAAAGTATATTTTTTAAAAAAAAGAGTTTGTCTAGATCAAGTTATCCTTTGGTTATATCTGTAAAGAATTACCTTGATTATATTAATAGAAAAAGAAAGCCCTACCCACTGTGGGTGGAACCATTCCCTGGGCCAGATCTGGAAGTGGATCTGAGTGTATATAAACATAAGCACACATGCATTAATTTTTCTCTGCTTCTTGACTATGGATGCATTCTGACCAGTCATCTCAAGTTCCAGTCAGTCATTCTCCACAATCAGACAGTACCCTGGAACTGTAAGATAAATCCTTTCTCACCTGAGTTGCTTTTGATAGGGTGCTGCATCCCAACAACAACAAATGAAACTAAAACATACAGCCCACTGTGTGTGCTGCCCACTGTACCTGGAGCTCTGGATCTACTTACCATAAACTTCCATTTTCTCTTTGTTGAGCACCACAATATATTCATAAATACCACCCATGGTTCCAGAGGTAATGTAGTGGGTGCCATAGTCATTGATGAACTTGGCATACATTCCATAGTTGAACTGCTCTGGGAGCTCCATTAGGGACTGTAGCATTCCTTCATCCAGCACAATATTGTTCCTCCTCATCTTAAAATGTGCAGTCTGTACCTTTGTAGACACTCTCATGAAGCTGAATTTCTTCCATCAGCATCCAAACGATTTAGAAGAACAACAAAAGCATGTGAGGTGAACACAAAAGGTCAGCATTATTAGCTGAAGAAACCACAGCCGTCAGCACATGTAACAAAATATTGTTAGAGTTGACAGGCACATACTAGATAACAATATATGAAAGACTTCCCCCATGCATTCCCTTCTGTTCTTGGCCCCACCCAGGTCATGGTCACAGTAACTCCTACATGGGGGGGTGTAAATGTCTGGTAGATAGATGAGCATCCAAACCTTCTTATCTATTTGAAAAAATAAGGCTTGTTTTAGAAACCTTGTATGTCAAATTTAGAGGGCCGGGCTGGTTTTCTTTAATCCAGCGATTCTATGAGTTTTCTTATATGTTCTAGGTAACCATGCAAAGACGGGGGGAGGGGCAGAATGATAGGCATTCTAGTCTTCTAGTGCCGCTCTGTTCCATTTGTGATGATGAGTCTGTGTGCAAAGGCATAATAAAAAACAAGCATGATCACCGCTGATCAGACATTTCCAATTACACAAGCAAATTAAGGTTCAATTACTACTGTACTTTTTAATGCAATTAACATAATACGTGTTTGGTGTAGATTATGGAATACTTTGAGACACAGACTTTATGTTCCAATACCTTCTCATTATACTTGCTTAACTCCTTCATGAATGAAGATTTCTTGGACCAGGATACAGTCCCCTCCAGTGTTATAGGAATTTTTGCTGCGCCTATGCCAAAGGTTATGCCATCTGACTGTAACTTGTCATTTTTTATTACAGAAAAGAGCTCATTGGCATCATCATATAACTCTGAGGATATTAAAGTATCTGCCAGGGCCTGAAAAGAGAAAACTAGATGTTAGTGCTGTGCCTGACTCTCAGCTTTTATGTGCCATCAGAATCTTTGCTTTGCTAGCTATCTGAAGTGCCAGATTGACGTGACTCCTTTCGGAAGCTAATCCACGCGTCAGATTGAGGCTCACTAAAATAGAGAAAACCCAGCAATGTTTCTTGGTGTCAAATGGAGTTTCTGAGATATTTATTTACACATTGCGTATGCAGTTGCTTGTTCCTGCATGCCGATAATTATGTCAAAATGTTAATTATATTCAAAGCATAGATTTTCTTGAGGGTGAGGGGTTGCTCATCCTTTATGAATGCAGGCTGTTTGCTTGTGCTAAGAAAGGTAGCTGAAAGCTATATTTGGACATTGATCTGGGCGGAAAGGGGTCAAGAAGGCCAGAAGGATAATAATAATCCCAATAAGTGGGATTTAGTGCAACCAACAAAGGTTCGGCTATTTCTTTCCCTGCATTCAACAAGGTTGCATTTACCAGCTGACTTAAGGAAGGCCAGTATCTTATCCCATATTTGAGCAACAGTACACCTTTCAGAGCTTGTGACTCTGAGAGCATGTCCTGCAATGTTACCTTCATCAGAGTGAGTCCCCAAGGTATTCAGACAGACACAGTAGCCATAAAGACTTTAAAACCCTGTGGCCATCTCTAGACTATTTCATTTTGTCTAGCACACAGACCATAGACCTTCATTGTAATTAGGAAAATGGAATTATCAGTGTCTTTCAGCTTGGATTTTTCAGAAGCCTGCTATCCAATAGAAGTGACCAGAGAACCAGGGAAGTAAATGTCTTAAAAAAAACAGACCCTGCATGGTGACCAGTACTTCCTATCAGTATTTTCTCTTAAGTGGCTTGGGAGTGGGGAGGATGTGTCTAGACAATTGCTCATTCCATCTGCCTCTGTAGATGTGTGCAGACCTAACGTACAGGAGACTAAAGATGCAGCATATATGCCCATTCTCCTAAGTGATGCAGAACCTGGTCTTAGTTTGGACAGATCTGGTGAGAATCTTGTCTCTGCCAACAATTGCAGTACAGCTCTGGGACTGTACTATATTCCTTTGTGTTTTCTTTCTAATATCTGACAGGGATACTGACACCTAGATCTCATATTACTGCTATGAATGTTAAGTGGCAGAACTTACATGGAAGATCTGGCCACACACAGCAAGTTTTCAGTGAGGTTGGCAGTATGGACACACCTTCCCTGGCTTGAAGGTAAGGAAATGAGTGGCCTTGAGCCAGCTCTGAATCTTACTGTGAGCCTTGTGATGCTCTGAGTGATCAGGAAACCATGGAGGCTTAAAAATGGAGTCACATGGACCACCAGCAGTTTGCAAGCCCTTTTTGAAAAGAACAGTTTCATATTAAGAAAAAATATGAAAACAACAGCTATAAGTTACTCTTGGTGGAGCATGAGGAGTAGGGGTCAGAACTCCATCCATCTGTGTCCTATTCCCACCTTCCAGATTGGGAGAGTATCCCGGGGAGAAATGTCAGATTAGTTCTTCACAGTCTTTTGCAGTTAGAGTTTAACAGAGTCCCGGTATGGAATAGGGCTGGAGAAGAAGGCCCAGATCTGTTTCACTGGTTTAGGCATGGAGGCCAGATTGAGCACGTGGGTGCTATGTTCACACTTAGCTCTTCTATATTCACCTCTCATCACGCTCATCACTAAGCATATATGTGCAGCAGATATGAAGGAACCTTCAGTCACCAGCAAGTCCCATAGAAAATAAAAGCCTCCAGAGCAACCAATCTCCCCTGAGAGGTTGCTCCCTCCATCCCGCCCTATGCCATCTCTATCAGACCTACATCAAAGTGGTACTGAAGGAAGTTGTAGGGTTTGCGAAAGTATTTCTCATCATCTCCATAGTAGAGGCGCTCACAGGTTGGGTCATACTGGAGCTTCCTCCACTCACTGTTATACACAGTCTCACACTGGCCGCCATAATACTTGGCATCATACACACTCTGGGCTTCTTCTTGAGTCAGGATATTGTACCTAAGTGGAAAAAAACAGCATCTTGGAAAACTCTTTGCAAAGAAAACATAACATGCCATCCTCTAGAATGGATTGTAGCTGGTGCTTAAGGGCTGGTCTCACTGAGTGTGTTTGATGAGCTCTGAGATTCCTTCAAGTACCCTGAGGGCACAGAGGGAGAGCTGGCAATACTGAGAGCCTGGGTGGACTAGATCTGGGCCCCCCAGGTAGCCTCTAACCAAAGCATCTGGGCCAGTGCCCTAGGAGGCAGTTCTGATTAGCTATTGAGTTAGAGGAGAACATGTGCAGTTATTAAGAATTCCAGCACAGAAGCCAGTGAAGTTAGTGCCACAGATAGCTGTGTGAGCTCAGGCAAATCGTCTTATCTCTCTGCCTCACTTTAGTCATTTGTTAAAAAGCAGTAATAGTACCACTCTTCTGGAGTTAGATATACATTAATACATGTTAAAGGCATCATAGACAGGCTTGGCATATATTATACTGAATAGATTCAGTCATGGTTTGAATGAGAATGGCCTCCACAGGCTCTTGTATTTGAATTCTTGGTCCCCAGTTTGTTGAACTGTTTGGGGAAATATGAACAGGTGTGGCCTTGTTGGAGGAGGTATGTCACTGGAGATGGGATTTGAGGTTTCAGAAGCCCACATCACTCCCAGCTAGCTCTCTCTTCTTCCTGCTTGAAGGTGAAATGTAAGCCCAGCTACCACTCCAGCACCATGCCTGCCTGCCTGCCTGCCGCCATGTTCCCTGCCATGAGTGGTAATGATTCTAACCCTCTGGAACCATGAGCCCCAAAATAAATACTTCATTTTATAATTTGCCTTGGTCATGATGTTTTAATCATAGTATTGGAAAAGCAACTATGATAGATACCTCTATTGGGGCTCTTAGTATTGTTTCATAAAGGGCTCTGATACTAAAAAGTGAATTGGGATGACCATATATGTGTAAGGCTCTAATCCTCAGAAAATCCATTGTCTTGGGGGCAGCCTAAAATGACAAAAATGCACATTGGAATATCAGGAAGACCTCTGGGTAATTTCCAGCTCTGCCACTTGCTATAACTGTGACTTAGTCATATAGCATAGACATTAGAGATGATTAAAAGTTAAGACTGGACATAAAAGTCTCTTAGGCAACAAATAACGAAAGTATTGCTGCTTTATGCCTCCCAGACTCTTATGTAGCCTTTGAGACTCAACTCAAATTTGCTTGCTCCATATGGCCTTCTTTGAACGCTCAGATAGTCAGGTCCACCCGACCCCTACATTCCTGACAGGCAGTACTTACTTTTCACATGGCACTCCCATGACTATTTATATCCTCTGGGACAGGCATAGAAAAGGAACAAAATATAAACTGTGACTATAACCTATCTGAAAGAATAATGGGTAACTACAGAGCACCTGACATAGCTGTGAAGTTCAATGTATGTGAGTGTCCATCTCCACCTCTTCCTTATTAGTAGAAGCGATGTAATACTAGCTATGATGAGTTGAATGCATACAAAGCTAGACCATTAGCACACAATTAGACCTCATGACAACTTGGTAAATGCAGAAACTGAAGCTCAAAAAAATGAAACAATATGCCTAGTCTCAATGGATTTTCTTTTCTCCACGTTGTTTTTGACACAAAGAGTACAGGTTCCCTGTCTTTATCTTCACCCTCCAGTTTCCCTCTGCCTACCCACTGAGAATGTTTCTATCTGAAATTTAGAAGTACAGCCTCTGAAACATACCAAACAAAAACGGAGGGCAACAGTGGGCCTCAAAAATAACCATTAAGAAAAAAATAACCATTAAGCCTACAGCACTTGGGGAAGCCACTGTGGAAATGAAAACAATACTACTATGCTAGGAATCTACACGTGTGTGCAAAGGACTCACAGACAAGGCTATTCATTGCAGTGCTGTTTGTAAGAGGGAGGATGAGAGTTATGGTTTGGATGTGAAATGATCTCTGTGGAATCATGTTTGAACACTTAGTCCCCAGCTGAAGGAGCTGTTTTGAGAGGTTGTGAAACCTTTTGTGTGTGGGCCTCAGTGGGGGAAGTGTGTCTTAGGGTACAGACTTTTAGGTATGTAGCTCCTTCTTCTTGTTTCCTAATCCACCAAGAGATGAGCAAGCAGCCTCATGGCATTGCCATCACATCTATAAGACACTCCCATTGTCATGCCTCCCACCATAATAGACACTGTCCTCAAACCATGAGCCAAAATTAATGGTTCCTTTCTTATGTTGCTTCCTGAGGTTGCAAATTTGAGTAAAGTAACTAACACAATGAGAATACATCTAGTTGTCTTTCAGTGAGTTGTAGTCAAATGAAATATTCTATAATTATATTACAAAAGAGTCAGAAAATATATTTTATAAAGGTTCAGATAGTAAATATGTTGGGCTTTAAAGGATATAGGCTTTACCTGCTGCTACTTAACTCTCCCATTTTAAGGCAAAAGCTGTGTTCTAATAAAACTTTATTTATAAAGGCAATAGACTTTTGAGCTAACCATTGTCACAGGACACCATGTTTCTTCTTTAAAATAAGATAGGGAGTATGTGTTTTAAGAGGAAAGCATCAAATGGTATTTGTAACAACAAAAAAAAATGAAACTTGTTTCTTGTATTTGAAAGAGAAAGAGCATAAAGATGGATAGGGAGCAAAGTTACAGCATCTTGAATGAGTAGGGAGAGGGGATAGAAACATGATAAAATTGTTATATGGAAAACATTTTTTTAACTAAAACCAAAAAGTATGTAACAGATGTATGTCACAATGATATTTATGTAAGTACTACCTGAATTTTTAAGACACTCATAGTGAAGGTTTGTTTCCCACATAGTATGTGGTATTGATCTATTTTTAAAACTAATGTGGAAGTACCTGAGCCATGCCTTAACAAGGTCAGCTCTAGAAAGGGAAGGGACAGGGGGCAACTGGGTGAGGTACCAGCATGTAAGTGGGCACATGGTGACACAGTTTTTGCCTCAAGTATATACTGTATATTTAATGAGAAATAAAACTTTGAAGCTGAGAAATGCTTAAAGTAGGATTAAAATAACAAGAAAAGTTTCCAAGACCTTGAAAAGTACAGCATTATGTCAAAATAGAGAGCACCATTTCACTATTTTCTGTTCTTAGTGTGAGAGAAACACACCATTCAGGCAGTGTGTCAGAACTGCTCCTGACCCAGTTGCAGGGGAGCAGGGTGGGAGTCTGCAATGTTTTTGTTAGTTGGAGAGGACTCTTTTTCAGCTCAACACTTCAACATTCCATTCTCTGTTCACCACAGCTACTTTCTAAATCAACAAGAATCCCCTTTGATTGTGCTGTGGCCTAAATTGGTCTCAAATGCTCATAGGTTGGCGTTCTAAGTACCAGAATCTCAAAATGTGTTGTTAATTGGAGACAGATCCACTAAAGAAGTAATTAAGTTGGGCTGGAGAGCTGGTTCAGTGGTTAAGAGTGCTGGTTCCTCTTCCAGAAGACTCAGGTTCAATTCCCAGCACCCAACGTCTGTAACTCCAGTTCCAGGGGATCTGATACCAACACACAGACATACATGCAGGCCAAACACCAATGCACATGAAATAAAAATAAATAAAGTTTAATAACTTTAAAGGGGAAGTAATTAAGTTCAAATAAAGATACTACAGTTAAGCCTTGTCCTAAAGAATAAGGTTAAAGTTAGGACATGGACGTATATGAGACTCTGTGAAAACCCAGGAATATGATAGCCACCTGTGAGCCCAGGAGAAAACCCTGAGAGGAAACCAGCCCCTCTGACATCTTATTCTCAGCATCTAGTTTCCAGAACTATGACAGAATACATTTGCTGTGCCAGCTACCCTGTTTAGGGTACTTTGTTATAGCCATCCTAATGAAAAGGTATAATTGGTTTCAAGAAAATCACACTGCTTGGTATTGCATGTGTGAGTCTACATGTGTGTACAGGATCCAAACAATCTGGTGACTGAGCTGTGATCTCAGAACAACTAAGTGTTATGAATGAGAGCTGCCTGACAGAGAGTTCAGTGTCCCTGGGTGGGCTGTAACCTGACTGGGTCACTTGTGACAATTACTACCTTACACATTTCCTTCTCTGCAAAGAGAGGCAGCTGCTCATATTATGTGCTTCAGTGGAGTCTAGAATCTGTGAGAAGTAAAGTCACAACATGGTCTGACAGAGCAGAGGGCATGGAGAGCATGAGTCATAAACAATTTCTGCCCTCAAGGAGCTGAGACTCCAAGTAGAGGACAAGGCCAAAGGCAGACACAGAATAGAAGGAAACTGTCAACACCAGGAAATTGCCATGAGGTAGCCCTCGTACTGGGACATGGGGAGGCTGAGATGACTAGGAGTTCTGTGCCTCAACAGGTGGACACCCTAATAGTTGTCTTCATCCCTGATGGTTGCATGTTGGCATAGCAGGATAGGAGCTCTGTAAACTGTAGGAGGGGCTGAGGCAATCCAGGCATAGCCAAGAGCAAGTGAGGGACAATGTCTAGATTTCCTAGAAGTCATACTGAGAAGTCATATTAATATAATATGACTATTAGTATAATAGTATACTTGGATGTCTTTAAAATGCCAGATTGGTGCGTTACACATCAGAACTCAAGTTTTTCTTCAGTTCTATATGCAAAATCAAGTTTTTCTTGAGGTTGGTTTCCAATGAGAGTTGTTGTTGTTGTTGTTGTTGTTGTTGGCATACAGACAGCTGCACTTTTCATGTCCTCATATATATTCTTGTCTATACAGTTGTGGAAATAGATAGCCGATCTCTTCCTCTTTTTTCTGTAGATACCAGTCCTTTTGGATTAGGGTTCCACTTTCTGACCTCATTCAATCTTAATTCCCCCCCTCAAATACCTGTCTACAAATACAATCACTTGAGGTGCTTAGGGTTCTGACATAATTGGAGAGAGCCACTATTTGGTCCATAACACTAGACAAGAAGTCAGCCAGGTCAGGATATAGACAAAGATACTGCAGAAAGAAGAAATAAAATTGGTTGATACTCATAAGGACTCAGTGTGAAGCATTCAGAGAATTGTGCCTGGACATAGGTGTACAGCGAAGAGAAATTAGACTTGAAGCTGATTTCAACAGAAAAGCTGTGGTATGAGAGGGGACTCAAACAATGACAAGGTGGAGGTTCAAGCTACTGTCTCACCATGAAGCCCATTTTCTTTGCACTTTATCACACTCTTAGCTTGTCCAGAGTGCAGTGAGCAAGGCTGCTGGAAATGTCAGGTCCATCTGGAGAAAGCTGCCTTTGGGGACATCTAGGAATGTTTCATAGAAGATAATAGCCTTGGAGATGAAAGAAATTGGGCTGAGAGGAGAGGGGCAGTAGAGAGGGGAGAAGGATCCTCAGGTAGAAAAAGAGGGACAGTGTGGGTGATGTCACATTTTACCTGGACCATGCAAGCTACCCTAGAAGACAAGAGCTACTTGTAGTTACAGGAACCCTGCTGTGGAATAATCCTTCTGTACACTGTGAGAATGTGTTGCTCTCATTGTTAATAAAAAGCTGATTGGCCAAGGGCTAGGCAGGTTTTGGGGGGACAAAGAGAATATTAGGAAGAAAAAGGGTAGAGGCTGAGGGGTCACAAGCCATACATGGAAGAAGAAACATGGGAAGTTCATAGATGAGGTAAAGGATCCCTGGGGCAGCACATAGATTAATAGAAATGGATTAATTTAAGTTATAAGAGCTGGCTGGAGACAAGTCTAAACTATTGGCTGAGCATTTATAATTAATATTAAGTTTCTTGGGGAGTGGCTAGAGGGATAAAGAAACTCCACCTACAGGTCCCTGTAGAGGAACCTTCAAAAACAGACTTATTTTATCTCAAAATTGATATCCACAATGGTAGAGGAATCATTTGCTGTGCTTGAACAGCCACAAGATGTTCATTTACCCCAAGGCTGCCTTTTCTGATCCTGGGATTGGTTCATACTGGTGGCAGTCATCCTCAGCAGCCATGGCATCCTCACAGTTCTCCTCATCGGAGCCATCAAGGCAGTCATTGTCTCCATTACATACCAGGTGGCGTTTCAGGCAGCGACCTAAGGGACACAAGACTGAGGGTGCTTCCTAGACCATATGCCCCAACAGCGGTTTCTCAGGCTTCCCTACTTTTGCCCACCCCCATCTATTCTGTCCTCTGTTTGCACTACCTCTTCCATCCTTGCTAGCTCTCGAGCTGTGTGTTGTGTCCCTTAGCTCTGCCCTACCCATCTCTCCCTCTCAAATCCAGCCTCTACATGAAACCCTCCAATCATCCTCTAAAATGCCAGCCTGCTCATGTCACTCTCTATATATCTATCTGCCAAGGGTTCCTGTGGTGGTTTGAAAGAAAATGGCCCCCATAGGCTCACAAGGAGTGGCACTATTAAGAGGCATGGCCTTACTGGAATAGGTGTGGCCTTATTGGAGGAAGTGTGTCACTAGGCTTTGAGGTCTCAGAATCTTAAACCAGGCCTAGTGGTTCACTGTCTTTTCCTGCAGATCCAGATGTAGCTCCTTCTCCAGCACCATGTCTCCTTACATGCCACCATGCTTCCTGCTATGATGATAATGGACTAAATCTCTGAACTGTAAACCAGCCCCAATTAAATGATTTCCTTTATAAGAGTTGCTGTGATCATAGTATCTCTTCACAGTGATAGAAACCCTAACTAAGACATTCCCCACCCTTACAAATGTCACAATCTGAACCCTGGTTGCCACCTTGTTCCAGGCTATCTTAGGTGTCCATCACCCAACCTGTCTCTTTCTAAAGCCCTCACGCTATAAAGATTCGGGGAAGAGTGTAAGTCCCTGGATTCTCATGCTTTTTTCACATGCCTTCTTCTGGAAGCTTCAACTGTTTTTTTCAAACCTCAACTCAAATACCATTTTCAGGACTTCCCTGAGTCCCCATAGCTTATTTGGGTATCCCCTTCTAGATAGCTGCACACAGCCCAAAGGCTAGCCAATGAAACTATAGTTGACCTCTTGTTGGTCTCTTCTCCAAACAGATTAGGACTACTTCAAGGTCAAGTACATTGTTTTTAATTTGCATATTAACAGCAGGTGGCACACTGCCTAGACATTAATATGTACCTAGTAATTGTTTATTTAATAAATGTTTAATAAATGTTATCTATTAACCATGAGTTGTACTTTCTCTAAATTAAATATATATATACATATATATTTATTAAATATATTTATTAAATTAAATATATATGTATATTTGTATTAATTATATATATGGGCTGGCTCAACAGCTAAGAAAGCTCTTGCATTCTGTTCTGAGCATCCATACCAGGTGGTGGCTCATATCACATAGGCTGTAATTCCAACTCCAGAGGATCCAGTGCCCTCTTCTGGCCTATTTGGGCACCTGCACTCACACATGCACATATACTGCCCTTCTATATACATAAATACACATAATTTTAAAAATGATTTTTTTAAATTGCATGGGTTACTAGTTCAACTTAAAATACAGATTTCTGGGCCCTTTTCCAAACCTCCAATAGTTAGGAGTCTGCACTTTAACCAACTTCCAAGTACTTACTTTGCACACTATGTTTGACAAGCGCAGCTGTTGTTGTATTGGCATGCAACTCACCTGTCTCTCCACACTGGAAATCCTGTCCACACTGTGCTTGCCTCAGACAAGGTGTGGGACTATTACAGCTGGTCTCATCCCAGATATCACCACTGCAGATGGTTCCCCCAAACTTGCTTGGCTGTAAGAGGCTCCGGTATCGGTACTAAATCAGATTGTGAACCAGATATAGTCTTGTCAATCAATCACCCAAGATCTATGCAGGCAGGTCTCAGCTCAACATAAGGAATAGCTGTTTCATGATTGAAAGCTGCCTTCAGGGCTGTCTTATAAGGGGACAAATGATCGTGCAGCATGGTGTTCAGACAACTGACACAGTCCTCAGCTGGAATTCTGAATGCAGATGTGAAATATCAAAGGGAAGGCTGGGCAGATGGGCTCTGAAGGTCTTCTTACTTCTTAGGGAAGAGCTCTGTTCCCATGTTCAACCAGCTACAAGTGTTTCTCTTTCAAAGTCCATGGCTTCCCTCCCCTTCCCTAATTCCATCATGTACTGTATCTACAAATCCTCCTCCTTCCTTAGCACTTGGCAAGTAAGGCGGTGACAAAGCATCTGCCTTTTTGTCTATCTTGTCAACCATCTCCATGAGACAATCACAGGTTGAGATGCAACAGTGAAGGGAAATGAAAGAAGGGCAGCAGCCTTAGGCTGTTTCATATACTCAGACTTGATCTCTGGTCAGGTACACTTTTCAAGGCCATTGCCACTTTGCCTTTGCGGGGTGGTTTGTTTATTTGTTTGTTCATTTGTTTGTTTTTCTGGTATTGCCTTCTCCCCTTCACTTGTCATACATCTCATATGGTCCTGGATGGGATGGTCTCTCTCTTCCCCATTACAGAGGAAGGTGAACACAAGCCAGGCCCTGGGGCAGAGCATCAGATCTGCCTGTTTGCAATAACCGCTTCAGGGATTGGTCTCAACTCAATCTGCCAATGATAGTTATCTCTCATTATTCTGTTTTGGGGGAAAGTGACACTTCCAAAAATATGGGTTTCAAGTAGCTACATGCCTCTTATGTAGAAATGAAGAAATGTAAGAGGAGACATCATCTCAATCCCTGAATCCAGCCTTAACTAGAGATGAGTAAATAAATATTTGTTGATAAAGGAACAGGAAGAATTAAAATACACTCCAATCTTGGGGCTCCAGAGTTTCATGATAAAGACTTTCTGAAAAATGATCAAGGGCTAGGTATTGGTGTAGAAACAGGAGGCCAAAAACTTGGATATCAAGAGAACTGTGGGGTCTCATTGCTGGCTTCTAGAAGTTTAGCATTCAGCTGAGATACAATCTGTAATAATACAAAACACACTGCCTAGAAAGCATCCTGGAGTGATGAGCAATGAAACTTTTAGCCCTGTATATTCTACCTTTGACCTTGGCTCAGCCAAAAGTCCTTCCCCCAAGAACCTTAACAAGTAAAGAAGCAATGATTTGATCATCAGTGAGTTGCTTCTTGAATCTGTGAGTCCCTGGTACTTTTGTCCAGATTTAAGTCTCAGCTCAGTTTTTCTCAATGGGCAACCTTCCAACAGTGGCGCCTGTCCCTCCACTTGTCTGGGAAAGCCAAACTAGACAATTGCTTATGTAAAGCATTACTGCGGTGCCTGGGACATGGAAAGCCTTGATAAATGATGACTATATTAGCACCATCACCATCCTTCCTATAGTGTCTGTACTAGGAACAGTGCTGTAAGCCTTCAAGTTCATTTCTATCAGTCCTGTTTACCAGGTTGCTATCAAATAATGGAGACAGTGGGCTGTTGGAAGGCGAATATCAATACTCCTTGAGGGACTTCTCTGTGCTGTTGCCTGTAGCTTGTGTCATTAACGCATAATTTCCTTTTCTATGTGGCAGATAATGTTTCTTTCCAGAAATGCTTATCTTTGTTTGGGTTTAAGAAGAAGAAACATGTTAATAAATAAAATAAAGGTGGTCCTTTACTTAAATAATTAACAGGATTTAATATCTTAAGGATTTCGTCAAGGAGACATATATCTTTCTAAGTATTTAAGGAAGTAATTCGATTCTGATATAAGCCCTGTGGAATCTGATACCTAAATGAAAACAGATAAGAAAAATGCAGGTTTAGGATATTCAATAGGTTGAGTAATGGTCACCAAAAAGTATAACTCAAAATCTGTAAAAGGTTTTAATTTGCCCTTATTTGCAAAACAGATTGCTGAACATATTAGCAGTTTTGAGATGTGATTATTTGGGGTTTTGTGAGTAGCCCAAAGTATTCCATACTTTCTTAGAAGAAGGAGGTACAGGGAGATTGCAGGCAGACACATGGGGAGAAGACACAAAAGAAAAGGAAGCAATGTGTCTGGAGAAACACAGGGGAGAGGTACAGCCATAGGCCAAGGACTATTGGCAACCAGCATCAGTGGATGAGGCAAAGCACACCTTCTCCCTTGGGGTTTCCAAAAGGAGGCAGGCACTGTTCACACCTCTGTTGCTTTCCTCTTGCCTCCAGGACTCTGAGGGGACAAATGTCTGTTGTGTAAAGCTAGCATGTTTGCAGAAATAGGCTACTGTATTTGTAGACATATATTATTGCTGACTTGGGAGATTAATATATATCAAGATGAAGTGAGCCAACTTGCAGGGGCTGACTTTAAATAGGTGAGGTTTGAAGGTCTCATTTGTTTGAGCTAGGAAAGGCAGAATGCTGACTTTTAGAGCTTGAAATTCAATAATTCAGATCCAAATTGTGTTTCCACTACTTCTTAGCTCTTTGATTTTTTTTAAACAACTCAACAACACAGTGCGTCTCAGCTTGTCAGGTGAGTTTAGAGGCAGGGTGAGCACCAATGGGCCCCACACAAGCTCTGCTATCAGAAGATAGGGGCTCAGTTCAAGGTCATGGAGGAGGCAGAGAGGGGGTACAGACCATGACTATAAAAATCCAGGATGCTTGTAGACACCTGCTATGTGCCATGTGCCTTTGTCCATGTCACTCATTGAGTGCTCAGTAACTCCATACTGTAGGCACTGTTTTCCTACCACAGTGAGGTACAGAAAGAGCAAAGAAAAATAAGTCTGAAGTAACAGAGCAGGTAGGAGGCAGCATCAGAACTAAACTGTAGAACTGCAGAGTAAACACTTGAACTCGACAGTATTGCACTGAAACACTGTATTCAGTCAGTGGTGTTTGAAGCAAACAATCTGGGGGCGGTGTAGCCCGCCAGGATAGATCCCATACAAAGGCAGGCGTTGCCTGAAGGGATTCATGAACCATATACAACACAGTGCATGTTAGACTGCTTTTTGTCAACCTGACCAGTACTTCTAAGTAAATGAGAAATGTATGCTGTCCTTTCATAGGAGATTGGGTTTAGGAACCATTTTGGATCATTCAAAACTATCTAAACAGGCACCATGGCCATAACTATGTGTTGGATGTGCCAAGCTTTTTAACCATGGGAATACCCTTTGTGGCATTGCTGAACGCCTATCAGGCCAAGGCAGAAGCTCAGAGTTTTGTTGCTCAGCTGCCTGTGGGCAACTTGGCTCTTTATTGCTACGCCACTTTGCAGTCCTTCCATATTACCTTACCTTCATTACAGGACAAAATGTTGGCCAGGACTCAAATGGAGCTTCAATGTGTCAGTGGCTATTTTCCTATGTCATAACACAGACACTTTCAGCAGCCTTGCCCCATGGTGTCTTATTAAAAAAAAAATCAAGAGAGGCAGACACAAGTCTCACCACCCAGGTTCTGGAGGTTTCCAAATGCCTATGTCCAGATCCAGTTTCTCTCTAGAGCGCTAGACATATAGTCCCAGCTGCTTATTTCCATTGGTACCTAAAGCCCAAATCAGATGCGCAATACCCCGAAATCCTCCTAGATGGCTTACCTTTTTGTCCTGACATGGAAGGCAATCTGTCCATTCTGACCAGTTGCTCAACTGACAGGCAACTGCTTGAGGAGTTGCAGCTCGGCTAACTCTCCTGGAAGAAAAAACCCTCCATCAACTTTAAGATTCAAAACTAAAGCAGAAGAGAACTGTGTGTGTACACTTTCCTGCTAGTGAAAGTGTGTTTTGTAAGACATGAAGAAAAAATATTTATCATACAACTGTTAGAGGCCACTACTGGAGGATTTAAGTAAACTACTGAGGCAGGCAATTTACAAGGATGGCTAGCCCAGCATGGCTGGAGCTGAACACACCCCTTTCTCAGCAAAGCAGTTGGTCCCTCTGCCCTAGCAATTCCCCTTTTGTGGTTGATTTGTGTTCGGACATATTCTGGTACTAGAAATGAGCCAGAATGGTTTTAGTTGCAGACACAGTCAGGCAAACTGTGCTCTCAGAATGAATTTTAGGGGTTATGCATGACTGGGTATTTGTGATTAAAATTATGGGATGCAAAAACCTATGCCTGCACAGAAGGCCCAAATTTCCACCTGTCAATCAATACATATGAGAACAAAGACCACCACACCCTGCCTCTAGCAAACTGCTCTGCTGGACTCATAAAAAGAAGCCATGAAACATAGCTTGGGGCTCCTGTGCAATCACACCAAGCCTGCTGCTCCCATGAAGGGTGAGGACCTGCACTGTGCTTACAAAACCCCTTGCTACATTGCTAGTTGTGTGCACTTCAATCCTTAGAACAAGACGCCAAGAAACTGAGAGATAGCCCAGTTCAGGCAACAAGCACCATCAACACTATTGCTTTACATCTTTATCATACTCAGATAGCCCAAATGATTACCATTTTAGAGATAGGAGTTCACTGGTGATGCATTTTTTTCATGAGCCAAAGAAGCAGAAACTTCAGTGATTAGATGCAATTGAGGCCAGGGTCTGGCTTCAAAGACTTCGATTTTTGGTTGTAAGCCTAGTCTTTAACAGCTGAGCTGTCTCTCCAGCCCTGGCTTCAAAGAGATGTTGGACATCTCTAAGCTGTTGTCTCATTGGTAAAACAACGTTGAAAACAGCATTATCTAACAAAGTTACTGAAAGCACATAGAAATGCTTACAAAATGTTTACTAAAAATTGTCCTTAAATGTGGTGTACTAAGATATTCCATAGACCATATCATTTAGTATTTGTAACCATCCTAGGAGGTAAATATCATGTCTCTATTTTATTTCACTAGAGATAGATCCTGTGGTTATACCTTGAACTTCTCAGCCTCCCAAATTATAAAAACAATAACATTTGTCATTTAAGCCATCGGGCCTGACTGAGGATGTGATTTGGTGGCAGATGTACAAGAGCTGCCAATCATGTACAAGGGTTAAGTGCCTAGCAGTCAGAAAAAGCCACCAGCCACAGGAATCTGTGACAGATTCCTATACCAAGCAAAGTAAGTGGCTACTTTAGTTTACAGCTCAAGTGACTGCTCTTCCTCTGGTCAGCCATCATGATGCAAGTTCTCAGGCCTCCTTCCCATTTTCCCGTAGAATGATTTCAAAACATCTAGTCTAGGATTAGGGTTTAACAAATTGAATAACTTTTTCTGCTTTAAGGACTTATTATATAACTTTCATTTTATCCCTTTGAGTTGGTGATAGTGCCTTGATTTGTGTTAAGACCACAGCAATTCCACCACCAATATCCACCCACAGTGCAAATATAAACACAGTGAGAAGGGGAAACCATGTCGTAGCATCACCAGGAAAATAGGTTTAGACATACTTGGGCCTCTGAATTCAAAATAAATTTTCTAATAACACAGTGACATTATTTATATTTTGTATTGTGTTTATAGTTGTCCTGTGGGTCTATATGCCACACTTGGAGAAACGGATCCACAAAAGATGTTTAAAAAATAAAATAAAATAACACTAGCCCAATGGTCCTGTCAAACAAACAAACAAACAAACAAACAAAAAACATTAGTGTCCTGTTCGCTCACAAATTCCTTTCCTGCTTACAATTTTTTTTCCATTTCCCTTCTGACCATTGCCCCAAGACTCATTCCTATAAAGAGCTACTGAATACTCATTCCTGTCACTTGTTCTTTTCCTTCCTCTCTCAGGATCATTTCTTTCCTTTGGGTCACATTCCGAACCATCTGGCCTTTAGCAGAGGCATTCATCTGAGTGGTTAGTTCACACCTACTCTGAGCCCCACTGCCCTGGCCCTGCCCACACACAGCTTAGAGCTCAATGGTTCCCAGGAGTCTTTTTTGTTTTTTTAACTCACTAGGATTTCTATCATCTTGACACCAAAGCTTCCTTCCTATCAGTAAGACCCCTATTATCTTCTCTCTTCTTTATAACTAGAGTTATCTCTTAGAGGTCACTCGGAACACTTACCTAGGTATGTTTCCCCCATCACACCTACCCATAGAACCCAGTTGCTGTCCACCTGCTCAGCTCCCAGTTATTTTTCAGCATCATCACAGCTCTCAGTTCTAGAAGGAAAAGCTTCCTGATAATCATACAATTTTGCTGATTTCTTACATATCTTCTCAACATTTTATTTTTTCAAAAAATCAAAGTCTTCTTTTTTCCTTTCTTATTTATTTATTCTTCTTTCATGCAATATATATATCCCAACCATACCTGTCTCCCTCCCTTCCCTCCTCCTAACCTCCCCTCCCCTTCCCTGCATAACAAGATGCAACAAGACTAAGCACAAACATTCATATCAAGGCTGGACTAGGCAACTCAGTAGGAGGAAACAGGTCCCAAGAGCAGACAAAAGAACCAGAGACACACTCACTCACTCCCATTGTTGGAAGTCCAATAAAAACCCCAAGCTATAGTACCATAGCATGTACGCAGAGGGCCTGGTGCAGACCCAGGCAGACTCTGTGGTTGCTTCTTCAGTCTTTGTGAGCCCCTGTGAGCCCTGCTTACTTGATTCTGTGAGACTTGTTATGCTGTCCTCCTCCCCTCTGGCTCCTATAATCCTACTACTTTTCTGCAGAGTCCACAAGCTCCACCTGATGTTTGGCTGTGGGTCACTGTATCTGTTCCCATCAACCTCTCTGATGACAATTGTGCTAGGCACAATTTATGCATATAGCAGAATATTATTAGGAATCTTTTTGGTGGTTTTTTGGGCTTTTGTTTGTTTTTTTGTTGTTGTTTTTTGTTTGTTTTTTAGTTAGTCATGATTGGTTCTACCCTAGGTCCCAGAACCGTCCAGTTTCAGGATTCTGGCCATCCAGGCAGTATTAGGCATGGGCTCTCTCTTGTGGTGTGGGCCTCAGGTTAGACCAGTCATTGGTTGGGCACTCCTACAAGCTCCGAGCCCAGTGCATCTTACTGGCAGAGCAGTTTGTGGGTCACAGATTTTGTTGATGGGTTGGTGTCCCTGTCACACCACTGGGAGAGATGACTTAGGCTGGAGAGATTGCTGAGCCACGAAGGCTAGGATCACAACCAAAAATATAAGACTTCAATTGAATGTATATGCACAATCTTTCCCTTTCAAGGGATGTTTGCAAACTTTAGGCTCAGTTGGTTATTGAACTCAGCTCATATCAGAGCATAGCTTGCTGACTAGGGAACAAGGCAGGTGGTATGTAGGCATTGCTGAGACGTCTCTCAGACCTCAGCTCTCCAGCTTCCTCAAAGTCCATTCTCCACAACACTGAATTAACATGCTTGCAATATTGGTGGAACTCCTCTCTCCACCAGAGTCTAAACCCTTGGAATTCAGGTCCTGTCTCTACTGCTAATGAATCCCACCATCTGTCATGAGTAGACCCATTGAAGATATTCAGAAAGTACTGAAATGGATGAAAAGAGAAAGAGAAGAAGGAAGAAGAGAGGGGAGGGAGGGAAGGAGAGAGGGAGGGGACTATGGAACAGGGAAGAGAGGGAAGTTAAAAATAAAGCCAATTCCTAGGAAATAGTGACATTTTTAAGAGATTTGTTTGAACCCAATTCCTAGTTATAACTAAATTAAATAATCTTGACATCTAGAAATGCTGAGAGCTCAAAGTATGAGCCACAAGTCTTTTTTTTCTGATATACAATCCTAAAATTAAAAAAAAAATGTTTTGGCCAGGCGGTAGTGGTGCACATCTTTAATCCCAGCACTTGGGAGGTAGAGGCTGGCAGATTTCTGTGAGTTCAAGGCCAGCCTGGTCTACAAGAGCTAGTTAAAGGACAGCCTCTAAAGCCACAGAGAAACCAAAAAAAATGTTTTGGAGAAACATGGAGAGAATTTTCAAGCCAAAGATTTGGGGACAGGAGAGGGCTTGCATTAGCCCTGCCCTTCACTGTAGAACTGTCAAGATAATGTTATTGTAGGTCCACAGCTTGTGCTGTGATGTCACAATGGAGAGAAACAAACAGCAAAGCCCAGTAGCTGGAAGCAGAAACCCAGACAGCAACGCTACACCACTACAGCTTCCCAAGCTCATGACATGATGTCTAGACAGAGGCACGCAGTGATGCTATCACGGAGGCCAGACACCAGAACTGCCATTAAATCACCTCCAGCCAACATGACCAATATTCTCTCATCATTTTAATGAATTTTTAAATGTAGTTCATTTTTGATGATTATACAAGTAATGCATTCACATTAAAGAAAGTATAGCAATGATTATAAAAAAATTATCTCAAATCTTACCATCATTAATATTTTATTATATTTCTTTCCATTCTATTTTCATAACATAGTTGAGGGCATACTGAGTATCATGTTGTACATCTTGATTTTTTCCACTTAATACAGAAGAGATATAAACTATTTATGATGACTGTGTATTGCTTCACTATTCCATAATAAACAGATATATGAGCCCCAAGTTTTTCTGTAGAATGGAATAGGTGGTTTTAGTACACATATTGCCAAATAACTTTCCCAAGGAGTTGCATCCATTCTTAAATGATGTAATGCTTGTGGTTTGATTGGTTTACACTTCAAAGTTTTCCTATAGTGGAGCCTGAGTCTCCAGCAATGCAGTGTTGAGATGATGGCATCTATACAAGGTAGGAGCTACTATAAAGTATTACGCCATTGGACACTATCTTTAA